TCCATTTCCCAGTTCACCTGAATTTGAGACCGTCCCCTATGTGTTGTTTGGCATCCATGCCTATTCACACGCTTTGGGTATACTCCTTGCCTGACTAAAAGGGGGCGGTCAACCCTTAAGAGGGGGCTGAGTTTAGTAAAATGCTTTATTTCTCGTGTTCAAAAGTATTGAATGGTTTATACAATACTATAATAACCTTTTTGCCTTTTCTCGTATAAAACCTTTGACGAGTTCACCGAACGTCTTCATATAAGGAAGTGTTGTGTCTTATTATACCCACAAGGTGAGACAAATTTGTCACACCGTGCAGAATAGGTATGGAGCCTTGGTGATTCTAGCTAGAAACTCATGAGTGGAAGTTTTTAGCTTGAATCAGGGCGCAGGGCCCTAGTTGCAAAGTGAGGATACAGAATACAGGATAGTATCTTGGGGATGTGCAACTGACTCAAAGGTAACAAGAAAGGTCTGCTATGAGGCGGACCAAAAAAAGTATTACAAGTTTACATATAAGGGCGAGGAGAGGTGGGTCAAAAAAAGTTTAATGATTTTTATATAGAATCAAAGATTGAGTGAAGCAAAGATTTATATAAATAAAATGAGCTTGAATAAGATGGAATACTTATAGTGAAGTGATGAAACCTTTGAAAAAGATTAATGAAGTGGGAGGAACAAGAGTTCAAGAATCCACTTAGGTTGATTATATATAATAATCAGTGTAATGGTAAAGAGCTCATGACCGTAAAGGTAATGAGGGAGTTAGTTGCAAGTGGATGGTCAAGAGAGCAATCACGTGAATGAGAGGTGGCTTGCAAATCATTTCGTCAAGGCTACGACACTTGGCTCTGTAACCTATTCTAGTATAGACTTGTTCAAATAAAAAAAAATTTAGAGGGAAAAATTGAGAGCAAAAAATTTACTACTTTGTCATTGCATACAGTCTGTACATGGAGGGTATGAGATGTACAAAGCGAGCAAATTTCTATTTGACTCTCAATTTTTGGGGGGTCTCTCAAAGTAGGATTTTAAAATGGAGAGTCAAAAGATTTTGAACCTTTTTGAAACGTACCTTTCCTATCCAAGCATGTCACAGTATATCTATCACTTCCCTTGTGCTGCCCTCATGCTGTATTAGACTGTATTAGACTGTATTCATGTGTGATAGGTGGAAATGAGCAATGTCACTAGCAAGAGAGTTTAAAATCTTTCGACTCTCAATTTTGAAATCCTACTTTGAGAGACACCCCAAAAATTGTTAGCTTGAACAAGCCCTCTCTGCGCGCCTCGCAGAGGGGCTTGGGACTAATCGTGAGTTCCTGGCACGGAGACTCCACGAGCTAAGTCCACTTATGTAGTTTTTTGCTTTTTCCCGCTTTCCTCACTGATAAAAACAACTTTACCTTGCAGGAAAAGTTGTTCATATTTTTGTTCTACACATCCTCATAGTCTCAGATTGTAGACAAACTATCTGATGCGGCCAGAGATGTGGCTTTAACATTCTTACAACACCCGCCTGTATTGTGGTCTGTTTTCAGTGCTTTTTGTACGCTAGTTTCTGCCTGTGCCAAATTCACCAAATGTTTTGCACATCCTTATGTTTAAATCACGTACAATGTGAATACAGGCTGTACATTCATTTACATATGGGACATAAGAGCTTGAAAACACAACTCATGATCAGGGTGATGAAGTAGTGATAACCAGGATATCAAGATGGAAACACATGTAGAACAAAAATACAAACAACTTTTCCTGCAAGGTAAAGTCGTTTTTATCAGTGAGGAAAGCGGGAAAAAGTGAAAAACTACATAAGTGGACTTAACTCGTGGAGTCTCCGTGCCAGGAACTCACGATTAGTCCCAAGCCCCTCTGCGAGGCGCGCAGACGTGGCCGCGCAGAGAGGGCTTGTTCAAGCTAACAAAAATTGAGAGTCAAATAAAAACTGACTCGCTTCCTCTCGCTCTGTACATCTCATAAACTCCATGTACAGGCTGTAAGCAATAACAAAGTTGTCATTTTTGCGCTCTCAATTTTTGTCTTGAAATTTCTTTTTTATGTTTGAAGAAGTCTTATCTACACCACGGGTCAACTCTTTGACAGGCCTGATATCGAACTGATCTCCAAATTTTTGATATCAGATTGATCTCGAGTTGAGATCGGGTCAAGACTCGATATCGAGACCTGATGATTAGATTTTGCTGACAGCCAGTCGACAGAGCTCTGGCGTTCCTCACACCTGCTGGGGCTGGTGAGGGCTGGTGATCCCGACATAAAATCGATATCGACAATTTGTATATCGAATTGATATCGAATTGATATCAAATGGACATCGGGGCAGATGAGGACCCTGGAGAGCGCGTGCAGACCCTAGTGACAAAACGCACTTTTCGGGTATTTGCTCCTGCACAACACTTGTCTACCTATGAAGCTGTACAGTAGCTCGGTGTGTGCGGGCAAAGACAGGCTACCTTATGATACCAGCCCCACGTTTATTGGAGCGCTGGTTGAGGAGAAAAACTGTTTTTTTTCAATGATCCCGGACGTATTCCTACATACCGGGGCCGAGTCTCTACATCGGGTTTTACCCGAAAATACTGCCCCTACCATGACAAAAGTATATGTACTAGAAAGCTGCGCCCTTGCTCCATCTTTTGCCGCTTTCAAAACTCGGAAAATGGTCATGGTTGCGCGGGAAAAGCCCGAAACCCGACAAAAACAGAATTCGGGTACCAATAAGTAGGGTCAGTTTGCACTCTCCAGGGTCCTGGCAGATGACCTCGAATTGATATCAGCGCTGACCTACGGTGGCTCTAAAGTGCCACGTGGGTCACTTCGTCAGAAATGGGAAAATGCAACGTACCAGGCCTGAAACAGTTCTGTCTGGAAACGCGCCAACCCTGGCCCGCCTAGGTCCGTGACCCTCTCAGCCATCATCAGGAGCAGGGCCCATATTTTTAATCAAGCTTCAGTTACCTACCTGCCACGACTCGCCATCTGCGTCAAACACCCTTTTTTCGAACCAGGCCTATAATCATTGAAGCACGGGAGTGCCACAACAGCCGGGCTCTTATAAAGATGAGTCTCACACCCACAATTCATCCACCCTATCCCTACCGTTCTCTCCTGTCTCACCCGTTTTTTCACTCGTCCGTTCACCTCAATCTCCAAAAACATCTTTTCTCAGCTTACTATTCTGTTGTCTCCCAATTTCCCAAATTATCTTCCAACCTCCAGATGAATCAAGATACTTGCTCAGCTTGCTGTCTCCGGCCCGCATCCCTTCATGGTTTTTGTGATTTCTGCATCAAAATCCGATTGACAGGAAGTTCCAGCTCATCACCCACTGAATCAATGATTGACCCCAGCTCAAACGGACCTGTCCATTCCCTTAACGGTCATCTCAATCCCCCAAATATGTACTCAAATCCTACGTATCCTGTCCAATTTTCAAATCCTATTACGACCTCCCAATTATCTTATCCAAATACGCAACAGGCCAATTCAGCTGATCATCACCTTTCCAACGCTTTTGATACCCAAGCTTTCAAGCAAGCAGCCGCATCAGTTGCTGCACACAACAATACACTCAAATACTCCTCAACTCCTACACCCTTTGCGGCGCCCTCGACCTCATCCATTCAACTTACATCAACAGCATCTTCCGTATTCAATCCATTCGCTGCTGCCAAAGAGAACCGGACTCGTAATTCCACAAAGTTTCCCACCAAATACCAACAAGTCCAAGCGTGGACAAGCAGTCTCAGGCGGAGGAACAAGCTCGACCCGTTCACGCGGAAGACATTCAGATACACCAGCGTATGATGCTTCTAGCCCTCTAATAACCTTTCTATGTGGATTTGAGACTTTTAAAGCACCCAAATGGGCTAAACAAAAGCCCATCCCTGTTTCTCGAACCATCAATGTCTATCGCCCTCAAGCTTACGAAGATCTGCGACTCGACCTTTGGATGCACTTTCAAAAGACTTTTGTCCCCAACGATATCACCGACAGACTTGACCCAGCCGGTTTCGAATTTACAACTTTAGGTAGTCAGGATGGCTCAGTGACCAATACTGATCTTAAATGGTGGTTTTCTCAATCAAGTTCCATCAATCTCATCTACGACCACACCCGATACAAACACAATCTCATTTCCAAAAAAGCTGATGATCTTAAGCTTCCCGATCCAGTACCACTACCAGCAGAAGTGACCAAGCGGTTTAAGATTGGTCGATGTAGTAAGTACCAACCCTTTCTCGTTTCCCTTATGTACATATAAAACTGCTTCTGACTTCACTCCAGGTGCGCCATTATCCTTGCTACATACCACCGAAGACAACATAGCGCAAGGCCTAGAACGTTTTGGACGATCGACTGAACCCTCATTAGTACATACCCACCGCGCCCTCAACTGGGTTGCAGGCTTGCAATGGACAGTTCAGCAAGACGGGAACACGGTCGAATCAGATTTTATCTCTTACCGTTGGCCGTCTGATCAGGAACCGAAGCACGGTCGAACTCACTCCGTTCAATCTATTGAACTGTGGCACCCAGATGGCCCTATCACCTTGATCAGCAAAACCGCCATAAACAACCGTTTCAATCTGAAAATCGTAGCACCTACAAACACATCGCGTCTATACAACGCGGTTGACATTCTACTTCAAGAATTTGTTGCGTATGCTAAAACTGTCAATGGCCTCTCGGGTCATGTCGATATGTGGAAGATAATTAACGAACTTCGTGTAAGTGATGATTCAAAAATTTAACTACAATAGGTCAAAGACATTCATAGCTGACCTCCTTGGTATGAATTTCGATTTCAGCTGGTCGAGCACACCATTATCACCTCGGAAAAGCCGCCCGATAATGACAATTTGAGCGATATCCCGGATGTTGAAGGACCACACGAGGTTATGCATGTTGAAGAATCCTTACACCCTTTGGAATCTTTCGCCACTTCCGGATTTTTTGGTTTTGCTATTATCAACAATCCCACCAACATGCACTACCTCACGGATGCATTCAGTCATTGGACTTACCAGCAAAGCAAAGGTCACCGCTTTGTGACCGATCTACGTGGGTGTGGTTCAGTCGTCACCAACCCTCAAATCCATGACATCAATCCTGCGTGAGTCCAATTCGCTCCCATCCAATCAATAGGGTCTCTGCTGATTTGCCCGCCTTGTAGAAATGTTTGGGGCAGCAGGAACGGCCGAGCCCCGGCTGTTGCACTCATGCTTGTTCAACACAGATGCCAGCTTGGATGTCAGATTCTTCAACTCCCAAAGCTCGTTCGAATTCCTGTGGAGACACCCAAAGAGGATCTTATATGGCAACACAGCCAGGTATTGCCCGACGGGGAGAAAGTCGAGGCTCGACACGTTGATCTACCCACTTATTTAGCTCTGTCAACTCGCCCAGCTCCTCGCCTGACGCCTCCGGCACCCCCTCAATTCCCCTTCTGAAGTCTTTGTGAATTGACTCCATCGTCTTGACAGACATCATGTTCTCACCATCATCTAGTTCTCTATATACCTGTTCAAATTTCGTGTTTAAATTCAATCTGTTTATACTTGTTACAATAATATGTTTAAATTTGCCTTTTGTAAAGTTTGTGATATGTCTCCTAATTAAAAAAACAACCAAAAGACCACACGCTGGTCGCATCCATTTGAGAAGCGAGACCATACTCTGCAACATATCAACTACATATGTAGAAGACCACACCCACCCCACACATTGCAATCACCGACCCCATCCTTTTCAAACACACATTCGCACCGTACTTGTAAATTTTTCGGGAGCTTTAACCCCCAACCAACACTGTGCCCACGTGCAATCAACTCAATCTACATGTTACTCTTGTCGTAGTCTGTCTGTCCAACCAAGCTTTGCCAACAACTCCCCAGATTGGCTGACTTCCGAAAATCCTATCCCGATCTCCATCCCTTTCTTTGATAGTTCCCTTTCTTTCATAGCCTTTTGGTTTTGGATAGCAATGTCACCACAAACCGCAAGACTGTAAGCTTCCAATCGAAACAAATGAGGTGATCTGTGGTCCTCAAGTTTCACAGCCCTTTCGAAGAAAACAAGAAGATCTTAATCTAACGACTTGATATTCTCAACAGTTTGGAGGTCTTTCTGACCTTTCAGGTCCGAATGACCTCTAACTGGGTATGTTTAACCCTTGATTTAAATCCTGGGTGTAGCAATACATCAAGGATTTAAATCATCTTTGGCTGAATGTTTGTTGTTTACCTCCAATCCACCGCGGCTGGGATCTAGACCTTCATATCTGGTCTAGATCCCCTTTCAGTCTCTCGCCACACATGGTGAGGAATGAGAGCTGTAATTCCAATGTTGATTTGAAATTAGTCAGTTGTTTTCGATCATCTCATCTCATCTCTGGATCTGGAATGAGATGAAAATGTTCATGTGACTGCTTTGGTGAACTGCGCTTCAGGGTTGTCAGGGTGTTATCAGTTTGAATCGTTATCCAAAAAGTTGGCAAGGCGTCGGAGGGATCTAGACATTGGTGACCCCTGATGTCTACATCCCTCCTCCGGATGTATCTGAATAACAATAAAAGATTTACTTACCATAGATTCTGCTGCGACTTTGTTTTTAACGGGAGCTAGCTCATGCTAGCTCGGGGTTAATTGAGTGTTATTTGTGATCTCCATGGCTGATCACTACTCATGCGTCTCAATTGTCATATAGGAAAATGAAACCTTGGCCAGGGTGTACCAGCGACTACATCATCCTGCTCACCCTCACTGAGGTTCCGTACAACCATATCAGGATATGTTGTTAACTAATGGCGATTGAAGCAGGCCAGTGTCCATCCACAACCTGGCTTGTGGAACTTGAACAAACCCTTCAAAACCCTGAAGGGGTCATTCACGAAACTGCTGTGCAGGTTCGTGAATCAAGCTGAGGTAATATCACAGGTCTTAATAAATAGGCGAGGACACTGACGTGTGATTTAGCAAAACAACACAATAAACTTTCTGTTCTTCATCGTCAATTTTCATCTCAAACTCTTTATTGTTTTTATTCCTGTCTTTTCAATCGCGATGCTAGAGAATCCGGTCTTTGCGGATGGCCTATTCACTGTCGGTTGTGAAGTATGCAAGAATCGATACTCCTATTCTTGTGGTTTGAACTGACCCTTTGATCCAATCCGTTGTGCTAACTCCAAATAGGTTCCCTCAAAAGACTTCTTTTATCCTTTACCAGCTGGAACTAACGTCCACTCAGCAAGCTGCATGCTGAGTGGACGGTCTGGCCAATTACCTCATCTTATGCCACTTGTAATTATATATTCCAGAGGCAACGGCCTTTCCCTAAGATCCGGTCACATATATCAAGCTACTGGTCCATTTGTTTATGATGAGGTTTTGAGCCATATTGTGTTAGCAGTTATACCTACAACACTCATGGATTTAGGACCGGCCGTGGGTCCTAATGGCCCATTCATACCAAACATTGCAACACCAGTTAGAATATATGGTCTTGGAACACCTGTGTGTGCCCAAGTCGAGCCTGCATTACATTTTGGCCCAGAAGTGATACACGTGGCGGTAGAACACTTCCATTATTTCTCTGAGGCAAGATCTTTTCACCACGTTGATCACACAAATTCTGATATACAATGGCTGATCTCCTCTCTTTCTTGTATGTATGTGTTGATAGCTAGGAAGAAGACTAGGTGGAGGTATACATTATAGAGGAGACCCTGGGGTTGGTGCCTTAGAACTTGATGACTATAATGAGCACGCAGTGCAGATTTTGTTTTCTGGATACATTGCTTCTTGGGATTCAGACAATCAGGAGCTAATTGTACAGGTCAGCCGCGTGTATCTCTAGTATATCTCTATATAGTCAAAATTCTAAGTTTTTTTTGAAGATTTCAGGCTTCTGTTATGGCAATAACCCACCAAGAAACGGAGTAAACTGGTCATATTTCTTCACTGGGCCCTTGACATTCTTCTTTTTCATTACATTTGTACTGGGTCTGGGTCTTTTTTTGTATCTTTGGGGGCTTTGATTTGGGTTAGTAAATGCAAAAATTATATGTTTCCAAAGAATTTGACACTTTCCATTGATGTACTTCAGCCTTTTCCCCTTCTGGGCGTGGTAAGCTCAAGTTGCTAGTTCTCATTGTCAAAAGAAGCATGTGTTCTCTAGTATCATGCTTTTCACGTCCTCATTTATAGAACATGTTCTGTGAAGTCATTTGGAAGAGTGGTCTTGTTCAATGAAGTTCAATACTAATGCAAAAGTATTGAACTCCTTGACCTCAAGGCATGAAATACTCTCCATAATGACATTGGTACCGCAGTTTCTCTGATTCACACGCTCAACAACAATTCAACAATACCTCACGTGTTTTTTTATCTCACAAGTCACTATTCATCTGTCAATTAGGTCTAACATGCTGTCTTGGTACGAGTTATGTGCATACATTACTTGGTTACCATCTCACATGAAATCCAAGCTGGAATTTTTCACAACAATATGCCAGGACGACATGATCTCAATTACAAGTACAGACTAGTAATTGAGATCAGCCCCAATTAAAGATCTTTCGGTGCAGGGTTCTACGGTAGGCAGAGTGGAAATGTCAAACCAAAGACACTTAACTTCAACGCATGAAGGAGTTTGCCCAAAGGAGGGGAGTATTTCAGATCTACATAACACGACATCGATAAATCTTATTGATCTTGATCCGAAAAAATCTGATCAAGATCAGAATGATTTATCGAAAGACTTTCGGTCTCAGAAGGATGTTTGACACAGCGGCGAAGAAGAAATGGCCTGGGGATGCTCCGGTATTGAGGTGGTCTTGAACGTATTATGATAACGAGAAATCAAAGCGTTGCCAGAGATCAGAGACAAGCTTGAATGTTTGATCGTCTGAGCGATGTTACTCTTGTCTGTACGCTGGTTGTTCAAAAACGCCTCGATCTATGTCATGACTACGGAGAAATGCATCGCGTGTTAGAAGGAGAGTAAAATTTTAAGAATTTCGTAACATCAATTGTTGTAATAGCTTGAAATAACCAATTTACTACAGATAAACAATAAACAGACCTTACCTAATGTGGGACTCGACCAAATCTATTTTGGACAGAAATGAGGGCTTGTTCGTGGTTGGTTGGTACACGAGGCTGTCCATGGGGGGTTGCGAGTAAGGACAAATCGTAAGCGCGCATGAAAGCAAGGATCTGGTGAAATGCCGTCCAAACGTTATCCATAGTGATCGCTGCTGGTTCTATCTGCAGGGTTGTTTGTGCGGCGGTTACAAATTCGGTCAGCCACATGGGAGAAGTCATCATGAGTTCGTCAGCGTTAGGATAGTATTGAGCGCGGAGCCCATCAACACGTTCCGGCGGCACAGCGATGAGACCTTCAACTCCATTCGCTGAGAGGGGTGCGTAGTAGCAGTAATTGGGTGCGCAGGCGGTAGGGAGCACAGTTTGTTTGTCTCGTCGTTTCCTATACGAGTTATAATCATTCATCCATTTGTTCAAGGAGTCTTGAACGAGTGGGACCCAAAGATACAGAAACAGGAGCCTACAATGAATAAAAGAAGTCAGAGTTAATCAAGAATCCAAACAATCGCCCATAGCTTCAGACTCACTTTTGAAGTGGGTCATTTTCATTGTACTGACCAGTCTCCATCGAGTTAAATATCATGTCAATTAATGCAACATTATGCTGAATCATGAGCTGGGACCATAGACATTCAACTTTTTGATTGCGAGGTGAGTCGGTGAATGAATGGCGAGCAGCAGCTTGCTCAGCGGTGAGGTTTGCAAATTCGAAAGATAATTCGATTTGATGAGCTGCTAAGTTGATCGTTTCGGTGCCATGGTCGGTGACAGTTTTCTGCGGGATCCCTCCAATTTCCTTGACTAGATCAAGGAAATACAGGCCTATGTGAGCCGGGTTGTTGTTGGTAATATGGACAAAGAGACCGAGGACGCGTCGAGACCATGCATCGATAAAACCATATATGGTGATGCCAAACTTCTTGAGCTTATCGTGGCCATCTGCGGACCACGCGTGATTGGGACCGGGAACGTAGAATGTGCGACGTTGAATCGAGGCGCGCAAACGGGCTTCGACACCTTCAGCATCCATCTGTTTGACCATGGTACCCACGATTTTCCTGGGTCCAAAGAAGATAGATTGTCAATCCTTCATATACGATTTGATTGAGGTATAAGTCAAGAAGACTCACCGATGGACGGAAACATGGTATTGGTTCCGAAGGATGTGGTGGACACGGCGGTATCCAGCGCGCTTACCATCCGCGCGCCGCTTTGAGTGTCGAATCAACTCAGCTACATCGGCCAACGTAACTAGTCCTTGATCAACATCGTCTTTCCTGCGTTGTAGGCCAAGTAGTGTGCAGCGTCGCGCCAGGGTGCGCGGTGAGATACTGATGTCATGACGCTCTTCAAGTATCGAAAGGAGGTGCTCCGCGACAAAACCTTGACGGTGATAGAAATGGATGAGATCATTCTGTAGTTCTTGAGTTTCATTATCAGGCGCCATTTGTAAATCCCAGTTGGAGCGGGCGCGTTTGATGGTGCTCTGCGAACAGTCGACACCATGTTGAGTCGAGAGGTTGTCCTGTATCTGGCGGTTGGTGAGGCCTTGCTGAACCAGTGCCGTAACAATGGGCCGGTAGCCTTCGGTTAGGATTAATTGATTAGGCATGTCGGCATTTGGCGGTGTCAGAGGGGAGGTGAAAATTTTCGCGTTAAGAATTTTCAAGTGACGGACGCTCGAACACACCGCGAAAGTCCGGTTTGGCACAGAGTGTTTGGATGAAATTTCTAGATTTATGGAAATCAGTAAAAACAAGTGCCACGAGTTGCCATGTCAGTCAGGTTTCGAATATGTGGGTGTTGGAGTTAGATACCTGGAACGGTCCAAGGCCGTGACAGCGGTCTCAGTAGACGGGGCAGGGTCGGCATGGGCTGGACAGTACTGTTTCAGGCCTGGTACGTTAATTTTTTTCATTTTCGACGAAGTGACCCACATGGCACTTTAGAGCCACCGTAGCTGACCCGTGGTGTAGAAGAGACCTCCTGGTGCCCATTAAAAATCGCACACTTTGCAAATTAGTGCGACTTTTTTTAGGCGGTATGCGCAAACTCCGGGCGAGAAACCGGGCCATTGAGGACCCCGGAAAGCTCCTGGAGAACAAACCGTCCTCGATCCATTCCGGCCCCGGCCCTCACACTTTCACTATTTGCCCCGAGGAGAGGTGGGTTAACATGGATTTCTCGGTGGTAGGAGAAGCGCCTTGATCAGGGCTCTCGATTACATATACTTTCAGTTTTGTACCACGTGTAATCACCGAGATATCCGTATGTAAGTACCCGACCCGAGCCGGTATGGATTTTCGTCGGTCTGGGGGGGCAAAAGTTACAAATCACACATTTCCCAAGCCACCAGTCATGTTCAGGGTCAGACATGTGTACCATCTGATAGCCCTCGTTGAGGCGCATCTTTTGCACCTGTCACATCTCTGGTACCATGTGACATGACTTCACAAAACACCGGTATCCGAAAACCCCCTCAGGACGGTTTGTTCTCCAGGAGCTTTCCAGGGTCCTGGCCATTGATGTTTAATGTCCCGCGCGGGAAAGTGAGACTTGCTTCCCCCGGCGTGACCAGCGAGGAGCCGAGCTCAGTTGCAGCTGTTGCAGTGGCTTTGTTCCTATGGAAATTCTCTTCATCAATCATTCTTGCAACGGCTCACATTTGTGCTCTATGTATTGCGCTTCTGCAGTTCATTCACACTATATCTATACCTATCTATACTCATTCAAGCCTCCCACACAGTTGGGCCTACATATTGCCGAATTTCCGTGAGAGCGTGTGGGGGCGCGACGGCGGACGACGACGGAGGTATGATTTGAATTGTATATGCGATTGTTACCCTTTTTTTCAGCATCCCTCGCCAAAGCAGGGCGGATCCCAGGTTATTTTTAAAACATCCACTTGAGTTTTTTCGAACCGTCCTTGGACCGTGTTTTGAAGAACATCCTTTCAACCTGATATTCGCGCAGTCTGATAAAGTTTATCAAGGTTTATGAGTTACATGAAACTTTCTGAGGTACCTTTCAGTCCACGTGTCTTTCTACTTTTCCTTTCCATACCTTTGCCCTTGTTCTCAACTTTCTATCTTTTGTTACAGTCTCGTTAGCCGAATTCGCCAGCACATCAAGATACCCACTCTGACTTGACTTGTTTTTCCCATGCGGTGGTGGTGCATCCTTCAATCAAACTTGACCCAACTTCTCGCATAATCATCACTTTATCTCTTCTTAGTTTTCATCTCTCCACTCGGTCTCACTGAAGTTCACAGCATTGGTTGCATCTTTATAACAAATGGAAAAGTCCACCACACCTGACTTATCCGACCATCAGGCGGGCATCACAGTACGTTCCGATCTACCTCATTCGCCCTAATGACCTCTCTAGATTAGCATCACTTTGTCATTGCTGATCATCTTCCGTCTTTCAGTTCGTCGCTGTCGCTGCCCAGGTAAGGAATGCATTCGCTTTTGACACAAGACATTGGCCTTGCATCAGACTGATATGAAAACATCGGTGAACAGTTCTCCTTCTGGGCTACATCTCTGTTGATCGTGATCTTATTTTATTACCGATTACGCAAGTGGGATCCAACATCTAAACATGTGATTTGCTCTGAGGAGTTTTGTGTGAAATTCCTTAGGAGTCAATTCGCAATATGTGAGTCGCCATGTGTTGATTTTTTCATTGGCCAGATCGTGCCATGTCATTGCGTTTCATGTTTCTCACCGGTTGAGTTGACTAACATCATATTCACCCACCGCCCAACTTAGTGTTTTTCGATCTACTGCTATCAGACTGGGTACAAGCACTGGGCTTTTCCATGAACTTTGCACATATCGGCGACACCGCTATTGCCAATTCACCAGTCTGCGTCAGTCAAGGAGTCTTCATTCAGCTCGGTGATACCTCCGGGGCGTTTGCAACTCTCTTGATAGCTGTCCACACTTTCGTCGTTCTTGTGATTCGATCGCCACCCACCACCACCACTCTGCTCAGTCTCGTTGCTCTTAAATGGGTCATCTCTATTTGCCTTACTGTGATCGGTCCTCTGTTTTTCGTTACCAATTCCCTTGGACCATTTTGTCAGTCACGGTCGCTTTCACATTTGTGCTTTTATCTCTGATATTCATGTGTCACTTCTTCATCTTTTTGGTTTCTGTAGATGCGCCTGCTGGTGGTTGGTGCTGGATTAGTGGCGAGTATTCTTGGCCCCGCCTCTACCTACATTATATCTGGGTGCGTTTCGGAGATGCAAACACTCCAAGATCACCGACAGTACGCCAACGTTTGCTGACCATGTTGTCTCCCGGAACAATGCTTTTCGATTTTGCCACAGCTGTTTCTCGCAGGCATCGCATCAGCCGTCATCTATGGACTGACTTATCTCACTCTCCGCCGTCGGGTCCGAACGCATGCCCATCAGCAATCAAGTGTCCCACCAGATCTCTCGCCTGATATGACTAGCATGGAGAGTGCTGCTCGGAAGATGCTAGTCTATCCACTCTGCTACCTTCTATTGACGCTCCCACTTGCCATCTATCGAATCGCTGGCATATCAGGACATCCCTGGCAACTGGATGCCCAGCTTGTATGTGGCTCTATCTTCACACTTGCTGGTTTCGTGGACGCCATAGTGTTTTGTGTACGCAGTTATTCATTTTATCTTTCAGACATGGGAAGAGTTAGATGCTAAATCATTTTGTTTGATGCACGACTTTGAATACACAGTGGACTCGCAATATATTTTCAGCCATTTCCCGTGGTCGGCCTCGCACCTCCTTCTCATCTGGTCTAACCACTTTAGGGGCGTCCACATCCACCACCCCGATAGAAAAACCGTCCGTGCAGATGGATCCACCCGACGACCCAAAGCCCAAGGGCTTGAAGACGATCATCCAAGGTGGTCCTGTACAGCAGTTCATGCCGGCCAAATACTCACTCGCTACAATTGATCTCAACTCTTTCGACGATGCTTCGCCGTGATCATTCTCGCCCAACACTGTGTATCTCTTAATATTCTGGGTCCTATCGGCCTTCCGGTTTTTCTGTCTCCTACAGGTTTTCTTTTCACTTTTTCTATTTGCCTTAATCTCCAAGTTTGGTCTCAGTTTCTGTTTATACAATGTAGAAGCACATGTCAATGTCTTACTACATGAGCGCTTTGAAGATGTATGTATTCAACGTATTGTCCACTTAGTTTCTCTTGGCATGTGATCCTTGCCGTGGATACTATTTCAGACTTATCTCAAAATTTCGATCTTCTGCAGTGTCATTCGTTCATTCTTCTTGTTAGTTGTACATAATCTTTATTTTTTCAGTGCTCATTCTTGTGCTACATATAGTTCTATATTTGGGTTGATGAATTTTCTCGGCAAAAAGAAATGTAAAAAGACTTTCTCCTAAGTTGTAGACTCAACTTTCCATACGATTAAAGTCCAAAAGGGATTTGCAAATCCAATTCACCACGGGCACGTACCAAGTACCCATCATAAGGCCTAAGTCAAGTCAGATGCACTACCTATACCTGTACGTGTCGTAGGGTGTTGCGAGGGCAGATTGGGCACCTTGGGAAAGCCTAAAAACTCTTGTGTACCATCGCTAGGTAATAGAAAAGGTGACCTTAAGACAAGCAGCACCACACGCTAGACCCTCATCTGAATAACCCCAGGAGGAATGCATCCCGGCCTCTGTGTCAAACGCGAATTGTGACAGAAAGGCGCGTCCAAGCCTCGGGCCTTTGGCGAGGAGGGACTTGGTTAAGTTTGCGTCCAAGCCTGGATTCAAGTTTTTGTAGAGCTGGCGAATTGTTTGTTATCGCGGTAAACTTTTCTATAGGCTTACCTGGAAACACAATATAAGTCCTCCGAGACCCGGGAGGCTTTGAATTGGACAAAGCTACGGAAAAACAAAGCTCATTTACCTTCTTTCATGAAAATCAAAAGAATGTCGCATTTCTTAAAGTCACTACCTTCAGTTTGACTCAACCACTGAAGCTTTGATCTCAAGTTTCAGAAGTACAACTACACAACTGCAAACCAATTGATTGAACTTTGAATACTCATATTGAGCCTGATTGAGGATAAAGCTCAATTCAAACAAAGCAAATCAAAGGATCTAGAAATTTGAACCAAGTGGCTGGGTCCTGATGAAGTGAGCATGTAGACCGTTTCGGTACATTCAGAATGTAAAAGTTATCCAGGTTTGAAGATGGACTCTTGTATCAATTGAGTGGGTTTTGCTACAATGTTATAAACCGGCGGATTTCACATGGTCATCTTTTGATTGAGGTAGTATAATCATGTGTTTGTATTGTCCATTCTTCAAGATATGTAGTAGAGAGCTTTGTAAGGAGTGAAGGGGCAAGCAGGCTTATTAACGTTTAGTGCTAGTATGTAAGCAAATGTTGTTGGTGATCGGATTGATGTGACGAGATATCATTGAGTTTTACGTTGAATTCATGATTTGGTACGACAAGACTGCAAGAGAGTTGCGAAAATTGTTGGGTGTCCAACTTGACACCTGGCCTGGTCCCGCGAGCTGATCAGCAAGTTGCTGCTGTTGCTGATGCTTGAAGGCTGAATGAAGCCTTGAAGTTGACGTTCCATGATGAAGCATGCATGAAGTTTCTCAGCGTGGGCCCTTGTCATGACCCCGTTCACATTCCAAACGGTGTACCGGAGTCACCCGGATCCGAGGCCGAGTTACACTTTGGTCGAATTCCACTGGTCGCGTTGGACGATAGCCACACCCAACTCAAACTGCCGATCAACAAATCGCAAGTCGATCAACGAACTGCAATCAAGATGTTCTGCGCAAGTAAGTATCGTCCTTTCTATCCTATATATGTGTTGGGTTTGCGTCAGATATCCTTACCCACCGCTTCGTTGATCGCGATCTAGTTTCTGGCGTTCCTCCTCTCGAGCCTGTCATCTCGACCAAGTCCGGATACGTGTATGAACGAAAACTCATCCTCAAGTATCTTAAAGAGAACGATGGGAAGGATCCGATCAGTGGCGACGTCCTTGAAGCCAGTGATCTGATCGACGTCAAGACTGGTGCGTCTACATCTCTATTTCTGTCCGTGGACGACAAGTCGATCGAACTGATCCCCAATCTCTTGATTCTCTGGTTGCGTTATAAGTTCCGTCCGCACCAGCCCCGCCGCCTCGTGCATCCACCTTGTCATCAGTCCCCGCTCTGCTCCATGTGCTTCAAAATGAATGGGACGCTGGGATGCTGGAATGCTATGAGCTTCGCAAGCAAAATGCTACCCTTCGCCAAGAGCTTTCTCACGCTTTGTACAAAGAGGATGCTTCAATGCGTGTACTTGCTCGGGTAATTCGAGAACGAGACGAAGCTCGAGAAGCGCTGGGTAGTGTACAATCTTCACTCGGAGCCGTCACTACCGCCGGAAGCCACCCAAGCCAAACAGATACGGAGATGAAGGATGGCGCCCCGGCAGCGATGGGTCTAGGTGACGAGGTCATCGAGAGAATCAATTCAACTTCCCAAGCGTGAGTAGTCCTATTGTATCTTGCTTTTGCCTACTGCTGACTATATACGCGTGATCCAGATTGTCTGCCACGCGCAAAAAACGCAAAGTGCCAGCCGGTTACGCCACTCCGGCTTCCTTGAAGTCTTATACCCAGCAAATTTCCATCCCCTCGCTCCATTCTACGAAGCCCCCCGGTATCACATGCATGCAGGTCACGGGTCAAAACGATTGCTTACTTGTGACAGGTGGGATGGATAAAACAGTTCAGATCTATAATCGTGAGACTGAAAAAGTCGTGGCCACCCTCAAGGGCTCTACCAAAAAGATTGCTTGCTTGGTCGTCGTGGATGGACAGCAAGCCACAGCTGAGTCTCTACCCAAGCTTATTGCGGCCGCTTATGACAAGACTATTCGGCTCTGGGCGCCCAGCGAGAAGAAAACTGGATACGTAGCCGCAGGGACTTTGTCAAACCACACTGCCGAAATCACTGGTCTTGATTTACACCCGTCCGGCACGCTTCTCCTGAGCGGATCACTGGATGGTACATGGGCTATACACGACCTTCAGCACGCAAGTGGAGCAGCGACTACCCTCATCACCGTGTCCTTGGGCGATGTTCCTGCCGGTGTAGGCATCAGTTCAGTGCAATGGCACCCGGATGGTGTTATTCTAGCTGCTGGATTGAGCGACAGTTCCATCAAGATATTCGACGCAAAATCATCTAGCTGTGCGGCCACCTTCCCAGGACACGCCGATGTCGGCGGAGGTCCCATTCAATCGATTTCGTTCAGCGAGAATGGCTATTCATTAGCTTCCCTTTCAGCTCAATCGACATGCGTCAAACTTTGGGATTTACGCAAGCTCAGTAACTACCATACCATTACGCTCCCCGAAGCCTATCAAGCCAATCTAGTGAAATGGGACCCCAGTGCTCAATTCCTTGCTGTTGTCGGTAACGATCTTCGAGTATGGCAAAACAAGACCTGGGATCAATTGCTAGTATTCGATGGTAATACGGCGGAATTGACCGGACTAAACTTTTCAAAGCTGGGCAAAGAGGTCGTCGTGGGAGGAATGGACCGTACCGTGACTATCTTGACTGATCCGTCACCAGTTGAGGAAAAGTGACAGACTCCAAAATTGGTTGCGCTCTCTCTGATTGTGCAATGTGATGTCAGCAATGAGACGCACTCAGGGCCGTTTTTTATCAGCTAGCTTGTTTCCTTTACGTTACCCTAGTATAGAGTTAGGCCTTCTCTTCCATGATTCCTGGTAGACAAAATCTCTCGTTGGTAATACTGAAAGGAAGCATTATCTTTGTTCCCGAGATAGCAAACGTTGTACCAGGTGCTCTTTTTTATGCTAACTTTGTCTGAAGACACAAAATTTGTACAGTGTAATCCTTGAAATTAGTGCATGAGGCCGTCTTGCCAATGGGAGATCCAGTGTACCAGGACGAAACAGACAGGTGAGATGTGTCTGCAGAGAGTAATATCTGGAACCACCAGATATGAAGCCAATGTCAAAAATTGTAACCCAAACAAACATTTGCACCTCAATAGTCTTTAATGTCCTGGCAGGGTCCCCACCAAGTGGCTATGTATCTGTCCCTGGGTCACTCACCTCACAGATTAGCTTAACAAACAAGGCTACTCTCTTGAAGTGAAAACAAGAGAGGGACATATGGACAACATTTTTCACTGGAGTCACATATTCATGGGTGCAAGGCAGTGTTGGAGACATCAATAGAACACATATCCAAGCCAATGTTCCTGAGGCTGACCAGGTGCCTTGTTGTAATCACAAAGGACCCATCAGCCAGAACGTCTTGGCTGCCTGTGATTGTGATGGAAATTTTACTTTCATCCTTACAGGATTTGAAGGGCAAGCATGCAATAGCTGTGTCCTTGAGGTAGCACATCAAGATGGACACTTGCTTGTTCCATCTGGTAAGTTTTCTTTAATCCAGTATTGATCATTAGAAATTTTTAGAAATTTTCTAATGTTCAATTCTATATGTAGGCCAATACTATCTTGCCAATGCCAGATTCACCAACTGAGGAAGGCTTCTTGGCCACATATCAAGCCACCTGATATCATCTCAAGCAGTGGAGCATTGGTGGACACCACCCTCAAGACCATAAGGAGCTATTGAACTTGAGACATTCTGGTCTGCGTAACACAATTGAATGTCTTTTTGGAGTATGGAAGATCCAATTTGACACTCTTGTACATATGAGAGGATTCCCCATCAAAAGACAGGGTGCTCTGGTTGTGGCTCTAGTGGTACTTCACAATATCATTTGACAAAGTGGCAAGGATATTTTCTCCAATCAGTATAATCAAAAAGAAAGAGCAAGACAGCTTACCTGGAATGAAGCTCAAGTAGTGGCTGACCACACACCAACAGCCAAGGAGTGGGCTAATGCTACTGGAGACCATGGTGGTTTAGCTAAGGAAATGTGAGATGATTTTCAATCACATTCACATCACATTTAGGCAGACTCAAATGTTTTTTTCATTGAAAATCATACCTGTAATTACAAACTCAGACACGAAAAAAATATAAGATAACTTTAACAAAACAATAGAATTTAAAAGCAATAGTAGTTAAGAAGAAATAGTATGTAAAAAATAATAATATCGTGTAATGATAACTATTTGTAATGAAAAGTGTTTGTAATGAAAAGTGTTTGTGATGAAAAACTTTTCATTTTGATGGATTTTGAGATTTCATTGATTTTTATTCTTTTTCTTGAGTCCATCAATCTTCTCCTGCAACCACTGAAAACAAAGATCATCTTCCAGATCTGAAAATAACTTTTCATCATCTTCCTTTCTCAAGATACCGGCTGCAGCAATACATTCTGATCTTGTTGCAGAATGTTCTTGACTTCCTTGTCTGAAGCAAGCCACAGCTACAGGTTGAAATTGTTGAGGAGGTGGAGGGTGCAGAGCTTCCCTCTTGATTCAAGCTGCTGCAACAAGAGCATCAGCTTGAGCATCCTTTCTGTTTTCCTTCCCAACCAGTGCTTTAGAGCATCCACTATTGTTGCGGTAAAATTACTGTAAATTTTACTGTACAGATTTCAATGTACTGTAAAATCACGTACAGAAACATGGATATCCACTATTGTCTCTGAATACTCATTCTGTACGGTACGTACCGTACAGAAAAGTCCCTGGCCCACTATTGTGCATTCTGCAAAAGAAGCTGCAAATCTCAAAGCATCAAGTTGACTTTTTATCTTTGCTCAAGAATTGTTGAAGTTTGAGAGAAAAAAATTTAAGAACCATCATTTTGAAAGCAATTAATTAAAAAACAATCATTTGAAGAAACAATCATGTTGAAAAAAATGGCTTGAAAAAAAAGAATTGAAAACAATTGATCTGAAAACAATCGACTTGAGAACAATCAATTTGAGAGCGAGTGATTTGAAGGCCATCACAAGAGTAAAACATGGTAAAACTGGCAGACAGTACTGAGATGAGCTGAGATGAGATAGGTACACAATGAAAGAGGATGTGGAATGGTTTTGTTATTGGTGGACTTGGTTTTTGGACTAGTTGATGTGTTTTTATTTGATGTTGGTTTGAGTCTGATGGGTTCATTGTAGTTGAATTCATTTTGATATGATTGAGGAGATGCAGATGGAAACATTTGAAGTTTGAATTGATGAACGGGATAAGCAAAATCAAAGGTGATGAAAAGAGGAAGGAAAGATGTATGCAGCGTAGTACGGTTTTGGGAAAGGTGGAGATGGATTTGGCTCAGTAGGTTTGGTAGATTTTGCAGATACCAATTTGGTATAGGTCCTGTAGATTTACTGGACCTCTACCAATTCTTTACTGAATCAGTACGTACCAATGTGTACTTTGTACACAATTGGGAATTTTGAGGCTTGGTACTGTAAACTTCAGTCAAATCTACAGTACCAAGGCCGTTTACAGCAACAATAGTGGATGCTCTAAGCCTTGAGGGTTGAGTTTTCTGTGACAAGCTTGAGTGAGCTTGCAAGGTTGACTGGAGGTTTATAAGCTGCCCTTGGCTTGAAAGAGTACACATTGGTGGATTTGGGGATGGTAGCAGCTGGAGTGAAGGGCTTTCTCACAGATGAAGGATCTGGCTTACCTAAAGATGGTGAGTTTGAAGAAATGGGAGGATCAGTAGGTCTTGGTGGGAGTGCAGTGTGTGCATAAGACAAGGCATCTGTGATAGGATAATAACAGAATAAGTGAACAAAAGAGGACATTTCAATGTTTAGAATGAAAATAAATACACATACTGGCCAATTCAAGAACTTACTTTTTTCCTTTCTCACCTCCATCGATAGGCTCATTGTTGTTGTCATTGTCGAGTGCCTTCTCTGAGGCCATGAGTGTATGATTACACTTTCCTTTTGGTTACTGTTGCCTGTTCAATTAGTACCAGGAACCAGAGTCCAACATAGAAGCATATATATGGGCATGTAGCAATGAAACCCATGATCCTTTGTCTTACTGTGACACCCTCTTCATTGCCTATGACTGTCTGTTGGCTGTTATCTCAGCCCAATCCTGATCCTTCCTTAAGATTGCACAAAAGACCGTGATGTTGCTTGAGCTGTACAGAAGGATGAAACATCAATCAGATGATGTACAGTTGTGAGTCACTGTGAAAAGTGAATTAGGAAGAAGGAAGTGGTAGTACTTACTGGATCCTTTGCTTGTGCAACATCATGTTCAATCTCAAATGTCTCATTCAGATGTTTGAGGGCTTTGGTCTAAACAACTTGCAAAAGGGTTGGTTTATCTATTGTTGTCGTGACTTCTGTCTAGAAGGGAGTTGAGTAAAGTTTGTGTTTTGGCTTTGGTCCATTTAGCTTGAGGCTTGGGAGGCTGTGAGTCAGACTGAGGTCTACCAATTGATGTTGAGTGAATGATAGTTGAGTTTGAACATTGAAATCAGAAGGTGAGGTGTGGGAGTTGATTTGTTGAGTCAGAGTGGTAGAAGGGCTGTCAAATGTAAGGGGTTCTGCGGAGCAGAACCTCTATCAAGTTGACAAAAATACAAAACAAATGGTTGAACCATTAGTGGTGTACAAACCTACAACCCAACATGAAAACCCATGAAAAAAACCCATGAAAACCCAACTTCTTCATGGGTTTTTTCACATGGGTTGAAATCGTCTAGATCTCACCACCTGTTTGTTGAAAAAGATAGTTGTGTTCGATATATGTAGACTCAACCAACCCCACCCCTTCTTGGACAACGCAACACACCCAAATAACCCAAATCCTTACAAAAAAACATATGCTGCTTGTCTACCTGATGTATGCTGATTTAAAAGTTTCCCTCTCTTTGGTTTGTTTCGACCTTTGCAATTTGAAGAATTCAAAAGCGATCGTTTTATTTCAAATGATCGCACAATGTATCGTTTTACTTCAAACAAAAACTGATCTGAGTTGCCTTTCAGACCTTTGACATGAGACTTTTGAAATGAACACATCGTTTTCAATAAAAAAACATATTGTTTCATCTCAAAAAGAAACTGTCTTTGTTGGCTTCTAAGACTTTGAGATGATACTTCTAAAGCAAAGATATTGTTTTCAGTCAATTGCAAACGAGATCGTTTTATTTCAAAAAAAGCACAAGATATTGTTTTATTTCAAACAAAAAGAGATGAAACTTTCAAAACTAAAATTTCCTTGGAGTAGTGTGAGATTCAAATCAAGAAAAACCTTTATCAATACAAAAAACGCAATGGTTGAGCTGGATGCAAAAAGAGAGATGTGGAGTAAAGTTACACTACACAAAATATAATATTTTCTGGGCAGAAAATTAAATTATTGATACACAAAAATATTGAGAGGCCAGGAGAAGGGCAAAAAATAAATAAAAATATGCATCTTGTTCCCTGCGGTGAGAGCTTCACTCTCCATATTTTTCCATATTTTTACAGTCCGTATTGATAAGTGTACCAACAATAAACCTTCATAATCATCCAATTACAACCTGTAACAAGCACTGAAATTTGGCTCATTAGTGTCTAGAGAAACTTTTGATTTCTGAAAACACCTATAACTTTGTCAAATCTGCCTCAAAACACTCGATTTTAAGTGCATTAGAAAGCTGAACTCTTCCTCTC